ACCAGAACACTGATACTGGCTGGGTCCAGGCTTAAATCATCACAGAACTGCTGAATCCCATCAATGCCAATTTTATTTTCATCTTGTGGGTCTGCACAACACACAAAGAGGAGAATTATAATTATTTACAAAACATATTAACAATCATGTGTCAGCTCTGATGTGCTGCATAATACAGGTATACATTTTTTTATAATCTTCACAAATGTTTTCACTTGAAGTCTAGATATTTTTAAAAGAGAATCAATAAACAGATTACTTAATCTGTAAACTTACAGAGAAATTGGTTTGCCACTTTTCCTGAAGTTATCTGCTAATATCAACTAAATAATTTTGTTTTCCCTTCACAATCCTCTATAAGACTTGAATTAACTCAGGAGATGCTGCCTACATTTAGAAACAGGCTGATAAACACATCAAAATGTGCAGCATATTTATATTGGTCAGTGTGTATTAAGCTTAAAAAAACCAGCAAAAGCAACCCAAACCCCAATTAGATTTCTTTTTCCTGATAGTGACATATGGGTAGCCACTACATCCACTTAAAGACCACATTTAAATATTTTGGGGGTTTAATTCTCTGTCAGGGAAATCACTAGAACATTGTTCAAACAATGCTTTAGCATATATAGTATAGTCTATAATGCCAACAGCATATATAGTCTTAAGGTAATTAATACAATTTAGTACAAGCAAAACACAGTATTTTACCAGTATTCAACCTTTTTGAATGTGGGTAGATGCCTTATAATAATTCTGTAACAAAATTTCTCTCCCAAAAAAGCCCCCAAACAAACAACTCCCTGCATGTAAACTTAAGACTGGAGAAGAAAAAAACAATTGAAAACAAAAGAAGATAAAACTATACACCTATAGTTTTCAAAGCCTGAGATTTTACAAACCACAAAACTGTCTTTCCAAGCTTTTGAGAGGACTACATTCCTGTATCATAAGCTGGGCTATGTAGAAAAGCATCTCTTGAGTAGATTTAGTACTAACTTCTTAAACTGATACCATTTTCAACCACGCTGTTTTTAAGTCCTGACCCCAGCATTTGATTAAAAAAAAAAATAATAAAATCAAGCCTAGATAAAACCTTTTGAATTTTATTTTAATTCTTAAGCTAAGATCTCTTTTACTTTCCCAGCCAATACTACAGTGAAAGAAATCGTAAATTCCAGAGAGAACATTAATTTGGCAAACAGACTTACATCTATTAAACCATGAATTTCACCTAAGGTATAATTCAGGGACCTTTGATCCCAAACAACAAGTAAATGCATCTATTCAACTAGTTCTAAGACATGTAAAGCATATTTAATATGTATTTGGGGAGTAATTGAAGAACTGAAGGTGAGATATGCACTGTCTTGAAATCAGTGGAAAAATTCTGCTGGATTTCAACAAGGACTTTTCAACCCTATCATATTTTACATCATCCAGGCAACTAGTAACAAAATGCAATCATTGTTTTGACAGAGTTGCTGGATCAATAGGTAGGAAAACTAAGAAAAAACAGCACAGAGAAAGACATTTCAGATTTCTAGTGCACTATCTTACAGGCTTTGTAGAACAAAGGAATCCCTTATTGCTGAGGGGCCAGCAACTCAAATCTAAGCCAGATATGAATCAAGGAAAGGTGCTTAACCAAAACTTTTATAGTCTTCTGTCAAATCTTGTCACAGTTTTTAATATCTACAGCTTCAGTGTTTAAGTGCCACAACTACAGAAGTGTGCTGCTAACTAAAACACTGACTTAAAATGGCTAGACTTGCTTTCACAAAAGTCAGATGGTGCAGTTTGCCACTGCTAGAAATCTGTAAGTAACAAATAACATTTGTGAAAATCTTCTTCCATTTTAGATATTCTTAACAGCATTTATGAATTTGAATCATATATTCTTGACCCTGCAATCTCCAAGACTCAAATTAAAGAAGCAAACAAAAGATTCATGTATGTACTATTATATATATATATATAAGCATGTGTATATATGCTATATGTATGCTACATATATGTATGTGAATATACACATAGGCATATACAGCATGTATTGATCTAAAGCAAAACATGGTTATCTGAGTTTTGTCTCTGGGTTTTTGTTTTCAGAAGGAAATACTATAGCACTGCTGCCTCTTTGTCCCTACACAATTCATTACCACACAATACTGAACTATTAAAGAATCTCTGTACTTAAAATAGAACAGATTATGTAAAGAACAAAAATGATAGAAACAGCAATGTAAAAAAAGGATAAAGTGTACACAAGACAAACCATATATTTAAATAAGAAAAGCACATAAAATCATAGCAGAGTGGTTAAGGGTTTGTGTTTTCAAACACAAGATGTACGGATTTCAACAGGAGCTAGCAATGATTCCAGCCCACACTGCTCCAACATGAGCAATGCACACGCATGTCAAATGGCCACAATTCAGCAAGCTCTGTCACCTGGATCACATACATTCTTATATTTGAATGCCTATCTTTTTTGTTGTTGTTCTTCTTTTACCAACAATGTAAAATGATACTCGGAAAGGAAGCAGCTCTGCCTTTAATCTACTTTTGTGTGGTTTTCCCTCCAAGCCTCTCTGAAAAGGCACATTACTTTTGCTGTAACATGCCAGCATGAAGGAATTAGATAATGATGTAGTTTATAGTTTTTGAGTTTTCTTATCTGTTTTGTCACACTCCTAGCTGTAATGTTATCTGAAATACTTTTTATTTTAATATATAGAAATATTATAGAAATATTACTGTCTCTGAACAGAATTCTCCCAAATGCTAGTATAAGAACATTATGCATTATTTTCCCATGGAAAGACCATCATACAGATTCAAGAGCAGCTACTGTCAAAAATTTACATAAGTTGCATAATAAACTTTGCTACCACATTTGACAGCTGGCACTTTTTCCTCACTATTAATTTCCTACTTTTAAAGCCTACAGAAATCACTACAGAAGTTGTGTACAGATCATTAAGAACATTTAAAACCTCCTTTCATTCTTATCATATTACTATAAACACATAGTGAGAAGCAAAAGCTAGCAAGCTTTATTTAAAATTCCTTCAAACTGGTAGAGGGAAAAGCAGAAAAACTCCTCACACAACATAACGTAGAAAAAACCAAAACAAAATTCACAACAACAACAACAACCCCAAGCTCACCAACAAAAAACGCCCCAGAAAACTAAACCTTACCTTTGTATCGATTATACAATTGTTCTAATTTCTTCTTGTCTACTGAATTTTTCATGGATTCTTTGTAGTACAAGTCTGGATTCTGGAAGTAGTTGTCTGTTGCCACTTCTAGTTTCCATTCATTCTGTGTTAAGCAGTATATAGCAGTCCTTTCACCAGCCTGGGTAAATGCCATAAACTGGCGGACCTTGTCCTTCTGGGACGATTTAAGCTTATGCTTTGGGATGCAAAAGAAGCAGGAAAGCCAATGAAGCTAATCCAGAAGTTTGTTTCAGCATTCTACTACTAATGCCTATCTTTTAAAGGTTTTAGTTTTCTTGTTGATGACAACTTTCACTTCAGAATTACAGGAAGACAAAGCCTTGTTCTTCTGCAGTTAAATAGACAGCATTTTCTTCTGAAAATTGAAATGACAGCATCTATATGCACATTTTTAGCAGCACATATTCTGTCAGTAACAAACTTGTATTTCTGCTTTATTGCTCACATATGCTGACGTTTTTTCTGTTCTGTAACAGCAGTAAACACAAGTTTCGTCATATTACAATATGGTTATCTTCTGAAAGATATGCCTAGTGGTTATAAAAAACAGAAATTAAAAAGGTGCAACTTACAGATTCTCAAATTCTGTATAAGTCCTTCATACATGGAGAAAAATACCCAAGAGTTTTCCTAATATTTTCTTAGCAACAATTAACAGGGCAAAGTTTAATCATTTTAAGTCATTTGAAAAAGGCAGAAGCATCTCTCATATAATTATAAAACATTGCAAACAGAAGACATAAGGCAAAAATAAAATAGACGAAGTGACAAGTCGGAGTCTACTGAATGTTACAATGAAACTATAGGATGAATTAAAATTTTAGATCACATTTACAGCAAACTTTGAAAAATATATTTATACTACTAGTACATTAAACAACAAAAAAGCCTGTTGCAGTGGTATACAGGAACTAATATGATGTTTCTCTCAATTGCAGCAACCATATTGAGAAAATATCCCTAAATTCTGGAACACCCAAGAGGTAGGAATGGGCATTTTACAGGGAGAAAATTTGCTAGCAACATATTTCAACATTATTCTTAATATGAAGTAAAAGGAGATAGCCTAAATCAAACTCTGCTTTTTATTATATTCTGTACTTTCCAATTTTATTAAGCCATACTTAACACATGTTATGGGGCCAACAATTAAGCTGAAGAATTTGTATAAATTCCCCACTACAGCTTAAATCGTCAGGTATAATGGAAAATTTACGGGTCTCTTACAAGAGAACTGAAGCCTGATCCAGTGAGCAGTAAACACGAGACCATCTTTCAGTTTACTTTTTTATCGCTTGTACCCATATGAACATCTTGACTATAGATGGTCCTGAGATAAGAAACACATCATGTAAACAAGATAAGGATTTTGGGTTTTCCGACAAGATTTTTCAATTTAATAGAAGAAGAAACATGCTGGGTTTCTTTTTACATAAGAAATACCTGCCGTGGGAGGAAAACCATGCAAAATGTAACTACTACATACTTTGGTAAGTAAATAATCAATACGCCTTTGGCTGCAAGCTCCAGCCTGCCTCCAAATTTTCATAAGGGTTTAGCTAAGGAAGACTCTGCACCTAGATCTTCCTCAGTTACATAAACTTCTTCTGGGCAACAAACTTAGAGATAATCACTTCAACACAGAGGACTCTTCCAAGAACGCCAAGCAAACCCCGTGTCCTCCTTCAAGCCTAGTTAACGCCGGGCACTTAAGGCAATTTTCTAACTTCATTTCTAGCGAAATGAAACAGCGAAATTATTTGAAGCTGTAAGAAACAAACTGCAGCCCGCTACCCTGCCACGTAGCACGGTTCCTACCGCCCATCCGCGGCCAGAGCCCTGCAGCGGGAGGGCACCGCGCACCTTCCCTGGGGGCCGGCCCGGCCCCGGGGCGCCCGTCCCAGCTGAGCCCTCGCTGATGGCAGCCCAACAAGGATGCGCACCCCGCATCCAGGCACAGCTCAGGCACGTTTCTGGAGCCCTCTCCCAGCGCCAATGACACCGTACCGCACACCCCAG